AATCTCCCAATAATCTCCATTGAAATGGGGAGATTTAAAAATAAACATCTTACGTTTATTAAAGTATACGAGTAATATGCAATAAAATCTGATTGTATCAAACTGCTTTGTAAATCTCATCAAGTTAACTTATATCCACATGAAATTAATACATTTTATACTCCAATATGACAATGTCTCGCACAATGTTGTTCCTATCCAGGTGGGTTTTTTTTGTTGTTTTTTTTTTTTGCTGCTGAGAAAATGCTGCTGACAGTGACATTAGAAGGAATGCCCAAGTTGTAAGAAAGAAAATCAGGTACATTCTAATCAACAAAACAATATTCCTAGTCTGGTAGTGGTTTAATTCACAAAGCCCTATTTTCAAAACAACCTTTCATTACCGCTTATGAACAGACTACCATATATCTCAGATACAATCTATAGACATCATGATTTATAAATTTATCATTTTTTAACATAGGATTCCGTTTTTATCACACGAACATTTCTATATATAAGTAAAAAAATTAAGACAATAGTTTACTATTTTAGCAATTTTATATGATCAACTGATCTTAATGTTAGACTCTGAAATCTTTAAAGCCTTAGTAGCTCACATCAGTTATTAATCATCATAAGATTAAGAAATGGTGTTTTGCATGGAATATATGGCACTTTAAATCAGTACCCGATATATTCAAAATTTGAATTGAATTAACAGATGACCTTAAGCTAAAATTTACAAAATATACCCAAACCAACTTCATTTATCATGTTACCACACATATGGATAGATCGAGTGTATCCTATAATATCAAATATTCCAGTGATTGATATTAACAAGAGAGGAAATATTAACAATATCACCTTATATAATCTCATGAAAATCACTCAAAGGCCCTTTATATATTTTAACACTCAACTGAATCAAGGGTATATCAAAAATACGAAAAAATAAATGTATTATACAATAAGAAATGGTACATCTAAACTTTTATTGAAATCTGTCGATATGATTTGTTGGAGCAAATCAGCCAACATGTAAAAAAATATCAAGATAATTATGTCAGGGACCATAACTCTCTAAACCCTTTCACCACTGTAGATCATAATGGACTCATCCAGATCAATGCATGGAAGAGTCTACTAAAGTTACATAGGGGTGAAAGGGCTAAAGGGCTCAAAACAACATGTTAGATCCACTGATGCTGTAACACTCATATGATGGGTTTTCTGTTTAATATTTTTAGTCTGACAATTTTCTTCCTAAATGCACAACTAATTAATGATAATTGGATTTATTTATTTTTATTTAAACTACAATTAACTTTATGCCACAGGCTATAAAATATCCCAATGCGCCTTTAAATTGTTACATCATATTTCATTTAACGATAGTTTATCGAATTTAATTCCAACTAAAAATTATAAATGTGAATCAGAAAGGGACATACATGTACATGTAACCGTTATCTGAATAATTGAAATCAGAAGTGAATCAGAAGTGTACAGCTACCTAAAGTATTGAGCATGTATAAAGTTTCACAAATATCCATTGATAGGAGAAGTAGTCTCCAGTCTGGCCATACCTTTCAAATTTATATATATAGAAAAATCTCATAGAAAAGAGCACAATACAGGACTGTGCATGAAAGGTAACAGATCTTTAAAAAGAAAAGAAAATGAGAGTTAGAGAAATATACATAATGTTTAACACCCAAAGTATTCATACTTTTGTTCTTTATTGTTAAAAGGGGAACAGCTTTGAATCCAAGGTGTCGTACAAAACAGCTTTTTAAATTTTGATTACAGGTAGAGTTATACTTTTACCAACTTGTGATCTAAACCTATACTTAATCTTAAACTTCTCCCAAACGTAAGCCTTAAATTATATAACTTTGCATAACAGAATTATTTACACTTCAGTCATCTATCACAAAGGAATGTTACTACATGTATATCAAAAAGAAAAGAAAAACTGGCAAGAAAAATATGAAAAAACATCAAATGGAAACAGCACTATAGCAATCCATGAGCTTTGCAATTACCTAGAAATCCATTATTATAGAACACATACCAGAAGATGAAATATGAAATTTAAGCAATCAGGTTATTGAAGCCTCTCAAATCATAAGACATCTGCGAATGACGCAACTATAAAAATAAAATATCAGTAAAATGTTTTCTTCCATCTTTTAACATACAGGTTTTGATTATGTTATGTACACTAATTCAATTAAAATATTTGTGTTTTGTTTTTCTCGGTAAACAATAACTACAATAAACCCTTCTATTTTTCTTCTTTATTGTCTCCTGACAATATATGTATACTCAGCAAATAAACCAACTGGTGTAGTATATAAATTTGCTAAGGAATATCTTACAACCAGCTTCTTATTCTGAATCCATTAAAAATAAGAAAGTTTATGGTGGCCAAAGATCTAATACTTTTTAGCCAATTACTCTGGAATTACAACAGTGAATGGTTAAAATCTTGAAATGTTTGGGTTTTTTTTTATTCCGTGGCAAAAGAAATGTACATTTCAGTTATGCCATGACTGTTATAAGTTTAGCGCTGGCTGTTGGCACGCTCCATTTGGTAGCTAGTGTAGCAATGATTAATTCCGCAATGATTTGGTTGAATTGTGAAGACAATTAAACTGTGATTGAGTAATCTGAAGCAAATCGGGTCAACATCTAACTATCTGCGAAGTACCATTGAGCAGAACTCATGTATTGAAAACTCGGGGAGATCACCAGATAGGGCTGCTGCACCTGCAGAATCTTTTGGTCCTGCGAGCGAGATCACAAAGACATTGCTAGTGGCGGTCATGCATGTAAGCCCTTACTATCTCAAACTGCTTGAAATTTGCCCCATTAAAAGCATCAGTGCCCTTGCACCAGTCCCGTCTAACTGATCTTGGCAGTGTCACCATAACAATTGACTTGATGTTAAGCCATTGGAGTAATGTTCGTTTTACAGATGAATCCAGATTGAGCTAAGTGTTACTACGTGATGGGAAAGACATTGAGTCTCGAGATATATTGGTTAACTATTTGTAAACTACATTTTCCTGGAATAGCATGGTAGATGTAGTGCGAGGTGATGATCTGGGGTGATATTTGTGCTGGAAACTGTATCAGACCTGTAGTAGCTAGTGTATGGAACTTTGAATGGGGATCGAGAGTCATTAAAACATGATTTTGAGACTGGTGGTACATTTGTACTCCTGTGTTTATGTCATGGCACTATTTTTCAACAAGATAATACACGTTTATGTAATACACCATCAGATACTAGTTATGGTAGCAGAACTTTTTTTGTGGTAAAAGAATGTTGGAATGTTGGAAATGCCATGGCCATCTCAATCACCTGATATGTCCAATACGGCACATTGGGGATGCTCTTTGGCATATCAGGTGACATCAAAACCAGCCATTTAACCTTTTAATTGAGCTGGCTCAAGTATATACTGATGAATTTGGACAATTTCCCCACATGTATGTTCTAATAGTTGTTTGAAAAGTTTAATGTGCAAACTCTTTAACAGTTTTTCATATGGAAGCGGTCACATGTGGTAATAAAACATGCATGTCTCTTATTAAACTTGATTTATCCTGTGATACCCTCTCATAAAGCAAATCATCACAGTATCTTTTAGCAATTGATGTTGAACAAACGAACAAGCAGAATACAATTTTGCAAAATGATAAATTTATCTCAAATGAGAGCATAGTCACTGCTTTTCCTTTTTCACCGAGTCTTATAGTTTAGACATAGTTTATGCCAGTAACAAGCCACTAGCTTGATATGTGTACAAAGTTTTGAGTAACTATCCATACATTTTGAAGTCATGCTTCAGAAAACGGTGAATCTCATATTTTTAGCTATTTGACATTTGTTTCCATGATATCAGGAAAACTATTGAAAATGCACGAGAGCTCCCCCATTACAAAATCAAGGCACTATATAAGGACCCTACCTTGGTTTGTGTACCAAATGTGTAGTGTTTGGAGTCATGCTCTTGTAACAGCACATTTTGTAGCTCAGTGTTAAAAATTGTGTCCATGATCAACCAAACAGATATGAAAATAATATAAAACTCCCTTCCTTTTCTAGTCATAGTGAGCTTGACCTTGGCCTTGTCATGAATATATAAAAAGATGTCCAAGGCATTGTTAAATGTTTGTGAAGTTTATGTAAATCTGTCCAAAAATGGACCAAAATGCAATGTCACAGAAAAATTGGTAGGACAAACCATACATGGAGATTTTATAGTTTGACCTTGAAATACTTTTGAAAATAAGATAATTTGTTTCTTTTTTTAAGGCAGCTTCCCCCTGCCAAGTAAATGCCTTATTTTCTCAAAAGAAAGTAAAAATTAGGATTCGTTCGTTAATCATATTAAAGTATTGCCTATCTTTTCTGAATTTTTCCTGCAGACACAAGCTACTGTAAAATTCAGGTATAAAAAACGGATTATGTAATGCTGACTGGCATGTGAAACACCTCCCACTTACTTGGGTTTATTTTTAGAATGTTGTCAAGTCAACAGCAATATACTAGTGTTTATCAGCAGTTGTCATAGCAACATTGTTTAGTCAAGTTCCTTGACTGGTAGCGTCCATTATATTTTGTATTATTAAGAAATAACTTTTACCAAACATTGAATGCTTTTAGAAAATCTTTTCTTTGCAGTCAACATTAGCATTAATATCAAGCACAACATTTATACGACGGTATGTAAAAGTGGTAGATAAGTTAGGTAAATGCTGCTAGTTATATTACATAACTAAATGCTTTTCTAATACCCAGATAAATAATAAGACCATCAAGTTGACAATATCTATAATCTACAGGTAATATTAAGGGCCTTTTAAATAGTTGAATAGTTGTTGACTTGGTATTATGTCAGTCTTTCCACAAAACAAATTTTAGAGAAAAATATATGTTTCACCTCAAAATACAGTAGGATGCAAAACAATGAAAATAAATATGAGAAGTTACAATTACTGACCTGATGGAGAGCCAGGAATGAAACGATTGTCATCCTCATACACTGGAAAAGCAGGCTCAGGGGGTGGGGTCCAAATACTCCTATCTTTTTCGTATATTTGTGTTTCAGGAGGAGGGCTGAAGGATATTTCAAAAGAATTTTCCTTTGCCATTCCCTGCATCTTTTGGTTCTGGAAACCAAGAGGTGGTGCTGTCCAAGCGAACCCTTGACGTTCTGAGAAGGAATGTCCAGGAACCCACGAGGGAAGCTCGGACCCAGAGGCCAACTCTTCATCCTTATTTAGGCCTTCCAGCTTCAACTCTTGCCTAACAGGGATCTTATCTTTCTCCGAGCTAACAGGACGTGACGGAACTTTGCCATTTCCCCCCGAAGCTGGTGGGGGGAAAGGCGCTTTGCCATCTTTGTCTGCACTTGTGGGACGTGGAGAAGCCTTGCCATTTTTATCTCCAATTAAAGGAGGCAATGGTGATTTCACATCTTTTGCACCACTTGCTGGACGAGAAGGTGTTTTCCGATTCTTTTCTGCGGTTGCTGGTCGCGGCGGTGTTATAACTCCTCTTTCAGCACTTACTGGACGAGAATTTGTTTTGACATCTTTTGCTGTAGCTGCAGACTGAGAAGTAGATGGCCTCAAACTATCAGCAGTTCCGGGTCGAGATGGTACCTTCCCATCTTTTTCATCTAATTCTTCTCCAGGAGTATAAGCCGCAACTTGTACATTCTTTATTGAAGGCATTCCACAAAACACTGTGTGTTTCTCCCTGGAAAGCCAGCAAAAGAGAAAAGGCCACTGCTAAACCTTCTCTATATACCTATGCCAAATTTAAAAATCCAAACGGGTAATGGGGTTCCAATCCACTTATTGGCACCTACTGAACAATGTTATGATGTTGTATACTCAGGTATTGTCCCTATTTGCAGCCATGACGATACTGTCTCACCTGACTAGTATATTATGACCCAGGTATAAAGCATCCCCCACCCAGGTATATTGATTGGCTATCAGAAAATGTTAACAGCGCTTGACGGCTATACGCGGCAAAGGAATAGATCAATAAATAATTTTCGAGCCAAACCTTTTTTGTTTGGGGTGGAATTGCGAAATAGAAACCCTGTGCTTTATCAGAATGATGGGTCATCAGATTTGAACACATTGTAGATAATTGTTATATCACCAATCATGTGCTTACCTGGAATACATGTCTGAACATATAGGACTACGCTGAATGGTTTTTCGTTGGACGGCCATTAACCGTTTGATGAATTCACAAACAAAACACTGAACATTGTTTTTTGAGACCCGCATTCATGTATATGTGCTTAATAAAGGAATGCGTGTACATTTAACTTAGCAGTGTATAGACATGATGAAAATCAGGTAAAACCAGCATATATTGAAATGTTCAGCAAACACAGTATATAATCTACACCGGGGGGGATTTAAAATCTAACCTTTTCATAATAAAACTGTTTAAACTTTTCTCAAATTCAACCAATCATGCATGATGGTGACTAGCTGACTTAAAAATCCTACATAAAGCATTTATTGTATTTGAAATTTTAATAATGTATATCATTATACCGTATATGATGTATACATACTTCAAAAATTGTGGTGTCTGACTTGAGGCCTTTCTGGTGGCTTAAAATTTCAAGAGAATATTAATTATGATATTAAAGTTTCATATTCTGTGTAACCAATCATCATGCTAGCAATAGAAATTCATTCATTTAGTTACAATAGGAATATATGAAAATCTGTCAAAAATTGGAGTCCCTTGCAATTATTTCATAGTTATTTAATTAGATACAAAAATAGGGTAAACATGACCACGCTACGTACGCTGTTCAGCGTACTTAAGGTTAAATGTGTATATTGTATGTCAGGTCAGGGTCAAGTTAGGCTAGATTTTGTGGCAATAATACAGGCATAGGTGTGTACATGTATGTCACTTGGTCATTTAAAGCCTAAATTGCTGTACATGTACAGTATTGATACATTCTTGCTCAACATATAGCTGATATCCAAGTCTGTAAGTAACAATAAAGAGGCCCTATTGGGGTCTCAAATGTCCACATGTGCACATGTGTTTTATTATCTAATTAATGGTGAAATGATGAACAACCACTTTGAAGAGGCAATATTACTATAACACTTCAAAATATGTTTTACATCATTCTGATCATGCTGATATTAAAATAGACTCTCAAGATGACTGCCATGATAACCCCTTGGACTTAAATCAGTCTTTAGACAACCGGTCAGGACCATGGACTAAACATTTCCACAAAGTTTTGGTGAAATCAGTCATGTAAAATATGCATTTAAATTTAAAAAAAAAAAAAAATCAAAGGTTTTGTCTTCCACAGTAGCCATATTGGATTTCAAATCAAAATAACAAGAATTGGTCAGGACCATCTGCTGATCATGCAGTCCCATTAAGTTTTGGTCAGGACCATCTGCTGATCATGCAGTCCCATTAAGTTTTGGTCAGGACCATCTGCTGATCATGCAGTCCCACTAAGTTTTGGTCAGGACCATCTGCTGATCATGCAGTCCCATTAAGTTTTGGCCAGGACCATCTGCTGATCATGCAGTCCCATTAAGTTTTGGTAAAATTGATTCTTAGAAATTGAGTTAACAATAACATTAATATTCCAGATAGATTTTCATGGTGTCATATTAGCATTCAAATAGGACACAAAATATCTGAGGCATCTTGTACATGAAAGAGATATGTCAGAAATCAATAGAGCTTTTTAAATGAAATTGAAAGATTTATAATATTTATTTATACTATTGTAATAAAAAGAAAAACAAATATCATATGACAAGGGGTTTTATTTCCCTTGTAAAAGTATGTCCTAAAAAAAAATTGTTGCTTAAGGAGGCTCCACCCTTTCGCAATTAGCCAGCAGAATTCAATGAAAGTTGAAATAAAACAATGAAAAGAAGCATTGCTAATCAAGCCTACAAATATGTTATTTATCATAAAATATGTACAACACATGTTACACAAAGTGTTTTTTATTGAAATTGTATGGATAAAAGTTATTATATATAAGCTAAAAGCAAACAGGACACATAGTTTCATACAAAAAGGGTGAAAAATTGAACCAAATACACACAGTCTTTATAATTAATTTATTTTACATTTTTCAATAATTTTGATCCTGATAAGAGTTGTCTACCTTGAAAAAAAGCGGAACTTTTTGCAGAGGGATAGAATTTGTACAATGACACTTATTTTCTTTACTATACCAAAATCGACGGAATTCAATTAAATTACTATATTAAATTGTCAATTTACTGTTCTTATATGGAACAAAATTACTCTCAATCATGTACACTTTGGACATCATTCCATTGCCCGCATATGCATTGTATATTTACATGTCAGGTATATATGTAACCATAGGCTATCTATCGCATGGTATACCTTTATCATGTGCACGCACATGCACTTGCATTTTATAGGGATCTTGATATTTTACAAACCACTATTTTCACAGAGTTATTGTTATTGCATTTGTGAAATGATTTATTTGACAGAGCGTAAGTTGCTGGACAACAAAAGTCGACCTTGAGCTTGTGAACTACTGTTAGCACGTGCACATATGTACAGGTGAGGTCGGTAAACAAAAAACATCAGTCTGCATTCCATGCGCTTCATATACATCTTCTTGAAGTCGTCTGATCGTATGTCAGTGTCTTCCCGTGAGCTAATTAATGTCTTTGTATCATAAGCTTTATTTCTGAAGTACGTGTGATTACACATTTCGAAGTTAAGTCTCGATATCGGGTGTTCACATATTATCGTCACGCACGCGTACTATTGTTTACCCGGTGTAACTATAATTTACACTACGGTACAAATGCCCAATACGCAATACGGAAATGACGATACGGATATATACGACAAGAAAAACATGTGTATTACGAAGGGTGGGAAGTCCTTAAGCATGCTGTAATTATGTACCATGGCAGGGTTCGAATTTAACCAGATTTTCTATTTGCATTTTTTCACAAGTGGTATTTTTTCTTACTTGCTTAATGAGAAAACAACTTGCAATTTGCATTTTTCCAACTTTTTTATTTAACTTAGAATTAAATTCTAAAACAACACAGTATTAACTGACATTTTAAATTATGGTCATTGGGATACATATACATGACGCAAACCTTGCTGTGAAAGGATGCTGGCCTGCTTAGGCTATTCTAAGATATAGCATAGAAACTGCATCTTAGTTTCTTGCTCCATATGGTAGAGTATTTGGTCTTTTCTGTCTTTGTCCCGACAACCACCATCTTGTCACAGCAGGTTTTGGGTCATACTCTCTAAGGGCAACATCAGCAACTTTGATTCGCATCAAAATTTTTGCACTATAAATAGTAACTAAAAATAGATTACCGAAAAACATCATGCGTCATCATTATTTGTGCAGGTACTTCCTAACGGACATGCGCACGGGACATGTATCGACTGTAAACTTCCGTTTATGACAAAAGCTGAATCATTCGTTCGGCGAATGACAAGAATGCGCTTAAATGACCGCGAGTTGTCAAAGAAAGAATGTGTAAAGACCGACCATTAGAAATGAGGATTATTCAGCCCAAAATTTTCACTCGCAAAAAAATGCTGGTGTCTGAAATCTCTACTCGCAGTTTGCAATTTGCACTCGCTTTTTGCGAGTATGCGAGCTTAAATTCGAACCCTGCATGTTTATATTAATGTCAGGGCTTTTGTGCACATTTATTTAAGGTCATAGGAGTGTATTGCTAAACGAAAATAGGAAGTACATCCCTAGTTGAAAATCCAATGTAGGGAGACAGTAACACAATTTCCACATATTCTAATGTTTAATATTAAACTGATGAATATTGTATGCTTATTATTGACAGAACATTGTGTTCTTTCAATATTAAAGTATTGCAAAGCAATCCAGGAATTAATTCAGTTGTTTTTTAATCAATAAGTCACATGTGTCCATTTTTCTGTACTTCAGGAAACCGGCTACCTATTTCACTAAGTACTGTGAAGTTTTTCAAGAACGATAAATCTTGCATGCAATTACTATGTGTATATGGTTTTATTATAAAATGTCAATTTTTAATGGTTTATAGAAGATTAATTTTACACAATTTCAACATTTATGAAATTGATATACATTAATGCAATACTAATCTATGTTAGTATCATTTTTATTGAAATTATTTTGCAAAGTAAATGTGTTTCATTTGTTTTTTCAAAATTCAATCCTTTTTACATAAATTTACATTTAAAATCCTTAAAATTCTGACAACCTATATTTTTTTGGTGACAGAAAATTTTCTTTACTTCAAAGCAATATAACTACAAAATTTGAACAAATTCTACTGAGAAATGGCGACACAATCCTATTACCTTAAGGTCAAAATAAAGCTGTAATAAATTCTCAGTTCCCCTCCGTTTTCATTACTCGGACAAAGCCAGTCTGTATAGAAAAATGTCATTCTGTGATTTTTAACACTAGACGGTTGCTGAATTAGCATAACGATTTATTTACAGAACGTGTTGTTATTGAAAGTTCAATAGCCCATGTAGGCTTTTAATGGCCTTTTATGATGTTGGAAATTTTGTATACAGTCTAATAATTGTGTTAACTGTTGAGTGAAGCCTCTAGACCTGTACATGTATTTGGGTATGAAGACAAAAAGGTGTAAAGGTCTATTCGAGAAAGAAAATACATCAGTAATTGATGTATACATATATATATATATGTAACAAAGAGACCCAATGGGCCTGCATCACTCATCTGTTATATATTAATCTCACACAAAATGTAACCTTAAAAGTGGACTAAAATAAAGCCTAACACAAAATGTCAATTTTTATGACGATAGATCATTCAAAAGAATCTATTAAGGATTTAAACACATTTGACCCCTGTGACCTTGAAAGCCAAAACAAGGTCATTACATTGAACAAACTTCATCGTCTTCACAACCCTAGACTTTTTGTTTATTGAGATAAGGTCATTTACACACAAAAAAATTGATAGCTCTTTGTCTGAGCATGATACTGGCAATATACCAATGCCATATGCTTTTGGGTTATTAAGAGAAAGCTGTTTAAAAGTTTCAACGCATTTGACACCCGATACCTTGAAAATGAGTTAAGGTCATTAATAAGAACCAACCACATAGTTGTTTTTTTATTTGACCCCTGTGACCTTGAATATAGGGCAAGACCATTGATTTGAATAAACTTGGTAGCCATTTATCTAGAGCTGTCACGATACACTTTACCCACGATTCGATACGTATCTCGATATTTATACCACGATTCGATACACCTTTATTTTAAAATACCAACAAAATGAGATATATATAAGCCGTCGATACCCGGAAACCTGAAGTGTTTCCACTTTTTTGATTTGAAGCTTGCCGGAGCATCAAAAAAATTTATTTCCTTATCGCGGTCTGCTATTTTGTTATGAATGCTTTGTGAAAATTGCATCCTCGCAGCCGATTGGCTGAGGGTTTAAAGATATGCCAATGAATATTCAGATCGCGACGTATCGAAAATCCAGAAAAATATATTGTGAATCGAATCGAACATAAATAATCGCGGTACAAGTGCATCGCGGTGAATCGTGACACCTCTACATACAATACAGCAATTATTTAGCTCTAGTTTCAGAGTGGGTTTGTATGCTGCTGCATATAGACTGCAAAATTGCTGATGTCATCACGTTTTAGCTGGTTGTTTCTCTATGAAGCATTCTAGAAAAGCCACAAAAACAGCTAAAAGGTACATTTTGGATTTGATTTATGTTTGCATGCCAAAACTTGACATCTGCTTACAAAAATCATGTGACTTTCGCATGGGTGGGGGCGTCCAGCTTTCTTCACGTAACATTAAATAGTATTATATCCTTTTGCATGTATGTTTATTTGTGATTTTCTTTCATTATATTTTGGAATGTAAGCAGTACATATATGTATAGCAGACACATATAAAGGAATCTTTCAAAGTAGAAGAAGAGATTTTGGTTTGTCTTTGGTCCTCATCATGAAAGCTTCCTGCAAAGTTTTCATGAAATGTTTTGAGAAGTCAAAAAAGGGAATTGTATTAGGGCTGGAACTGGTAACTGAGTATCCAGTTGCGGTTTGGTTACAAGTACTATCTGGTTAGCAAATCGGACATGTACCCGAAAACGGTCCCAAAATGTAGGTCAATATTTATTGATTTTCCGGGCAGGAGAGGTCATTCCTGACTTTTGTTTGACAGACCTTGAAAACACTTGTACAGCATACTTGCTTTAACTATTGAGTGCATGTAAACAATAAACTTTGAATGTAAACATAATATCGACTGACATTCTATTGAACAATGTAACTCATCATTCACTGGACAGCTATCATCAGTGTTTCAACAGGAAGTGATGTGCAGAAATATGTGTGTTGACAACACATGATCAGTGTAAAGTGAAACTACAAATACTTCCCTGTTGGGAGGCTAGCAATATGTAACCAATTAATATTTTTTTTGAGAATTTGCAACAATTTACAACTGTATTCACAAAATTAAGGCATAAGTATTGAGTCATCTTTGTTTATTCATTCCAAGAATTAAGTAATCATACTTCATTTCACATAAAAACATGGCTACCCAGTTTCCTTTCAGATAAGCACACAAGGTTATCCGAGTGGCATTTTTTCTAACCGTTGCAGCCCTAAATTTTATATGGATGGCTATTAAAATAGGTCACATCAAAGATCCATAGAAGCCCAGTCTATAAATCATAAATTATCATAAATGTGGCCTCTCCATTGAAAATAAAATCAGACTTTGTGCCCAGTGTCAGCTAATTAATAAACAATTAATACATTTCCTTTTTTATTATATTTAACCCCAGGCATAATGATGATGATGATGATGATTTTAAAATAGGAAAATCTTATATACAGTTGTTTTAATTCTTTTTCTTTCATTTCTCTCTTTCCTCTCTTTTCATTTTTATCAATATGCTAAAAATACATATCACTTTTATAATTTAAAAGGCTGTTTTATTGCCTCATCGATTTAATTCACGCAAGTTTGATCACACAATTTGAGATTATACAACTGGCCTCAATATCAAACAATTACTTTCTATAAATGAAAACACTGGTAACGCAATCGCTCCAACTGTACAATAGAAACCATGGTACATTTCAAACTTCAAATATTGAATTTCAAAGCCACCAATGGCAGATCTATACAAGTGTACATACTTAGTATAGTATCACTCCAGTGCAGGTGATTAATTGTATGTTTTAACCCTTTCACCACTGTAGACCATAATGGACTTATCCAGATCAATGTATGGTAAAGTCTACAAAAGTTACCTAGGGGTTAAAGGGTTAAGATAAAATATCACTGTATGTTTTAACCCTTTCACCACTGTAGACCATAATGGACTTATCCAGATCAATGTATGGTAAAGTCTACAAAAGTTACCAAGGGGGTGAAAGGGTTAAGATAAAATACTACTGTATGTTTTTTGTAATCTCCTTTTATAAGTAACAAAACAGCACAGGATGGAAGGCCAAACATTCGCATGCTTTCAATCAATTGCTTTGAACTTACATTTAAATGGTATCCGATGATTAAACTAGTACAAGGCAATGTAAATGTTTTAAAAAAAGATGTCATCAGATAAGTCGGACTGCCCAATGTAGGACGACAAGCACATCTAAACTATATATCACAATTTCTGAGCTTAGATGATGTTTGTAAAGTCCTTGAGCCAAACGCATAAGTAAGAGCTCAAGTGACAAAGGCACAAAGATATATATACTATCTGGAGAGATCCGGGGTCATCCTCGTCCATAAGCTCTGTGCAACATGACACATTTTTAGAAATCAATTTAGCATTATAATTTAAGCAATTTTTGCTTCATAATATTTAGCATTTAAAATATCTTTAATGGGGAGAAAAAAGTAAACATATGGAAAAAGTTCCAGAATTATTTAAAAACTTCCATTGGGTAGTTAGGCATTTCCCCCTGCTACAATTCATAACATTGACCCCAAAAGCAGGGAGGAAACAAATGCAGGGAAAAACCTGAAATTTAAGAGCAGACTGAGTCATTTCAGGATTTTTTAGTCAATATTAATGAATAACAAAATTAAGAGGGGCTATTCTACGAAAGATTTAAAGAAAACTGGAAACATTGAGGAATCAATTTCAGTTTTGAGGGGTCAATGGCCCCATGGCCCCCTCCAGGTTTATCCCTGAAATGTATTTGTAACCCGCCTTTCCCACCCACCCCCTACCCCTCTTAAAAAAGAGGAAGGGTAGGTAACAACGCCCCTGCTACCCAGCCAAGTTTCCTATATAAACCACTGAATACTGTCCATACCCATACGTATGAGTCAATATTCAACCCCAAATACATGACAAATTATATCGTTCTGATCCATCTCCAGATCTATGAAAATCATACACAAAGAATGGCTTAATTTCACACGTTACCAGGCTATAAGCTATATTAAGCCACCCACTCGTCTGCCTGTCTTTTGGACAGGGCAGAGGCAGTTTTCTTAAAAAGTCCCATTTAGACGGGCAACGTTAACTTCTCACTATATATCCTTACTATTTTTCCTTATTTTGGACAAGCAATTTTATCAAAATGGGCTAAATATCAGCTTTTTGGACAGGTAGGTTTGAAACCCTAGCTAAAAGCCTGCATATTACCTTACAAAAGTGTCTGTAGAGTAGTTTTTAAGACTTTATGTAACAAGCTACATATTTGAGCATATGATATTTTAAACTAGAAAATGAAATGACATTTAAAATGAAACATAAAATTTATCCCATACCTGTGTTATCTGAACTGGATAGGTCAGACTGCGCTGATTGGCGTGTCACAAAATATCCACCACTTTTGTGAGCTGATGGCAGTGGCCTGTAAGGGGCATTGTCGTAAAACATTTCATTTGTATAGGCGTATCTGTCCATTGGTCCATACATTTGGTAGGGATCCCCTGAAGGAACACTTGAGGAATAGGGGTCTTGAGAATTTTCTTGTGATTCAGCATCATAGAATTCTGGATATGATGCTCCCTTATATACATATCGTCCATCTTTAGTTTTCTCTTTTTTATGCTTTCCTTCCTTCCAAGGAATATCAAAATTCTGCAAATAAAAAAACACCAATGTCAAGTACAAAATAGACCAAATGTATCACGGATTTTTGTATAAACTTAATTAAAAGGATAGTGTTATATTTGGAAGTTTGGAGAAGTGTAAATGAGAAATGAATCCCCGTACAAGTCAAACCTTGAATGACAATTCAATGGCAATCTTGCAACAATTTTTATTTTTGAAACATCTTTTGATATTCAATGGAATACCGTTTAAATGTATAAAGATTAGTTAAAATACTACAGTCACTCACCTGCAGGCATGCACTCACTCAATCTATACACTGAAATTTCTACTTTATGCCTCATTTCATGTGCATGACATTGCAATGGGGCAACATTAATGTGACACACATATACATGTAATTACTGAAGCTGCCATGATGAAAATGAAAACTAAAGTGATTTAAGAAGTATTATAACCTCTAACAGCTGAAAAAGGGGGGGGGGGGTATTTTTTCTTCAAAATAAAGATATTATGCAATGGAGTACGCTATAAATATTGCCGACTTGTTTTTTTTTTGTCCAAAAGGTTCTGGAAAAAAATCAAAATGGTAGCCAGTTTAAAGACCTTTTCATGGTTTCTGAGCAAATACTCTTCATGGATACAGAGTAAAATGTTCACATTATGTGATCTGATCTTCATGACACGGGATTTTAATTTGTGTTATAAGGGTATCAAATGCTGAAGTTATGTGCTGTATTAATTTTACCTAGGTAAAGATGCATGCTCTAATACAAATACACACACCCTGATCCCACCAGGGACTCACGTACTGGTCCACATTTTTAAATCATTATAAATTGTAAAAAGCAAAAATGCAAATTATATTCAAATAAAAACTATTTATGGACTCTTAATACAGTCAAGTACTTAATATCTATGACGGATACTATTATAGAGTCTAGTGTGCCAAAAATTTTTTTCCTTTTTCTTCTAAAAGCGAAGACATTTTAATTTGATCTGGTATTAGAAATTAGATATTGGTATTATCTGGTATTATCTTGTAGGCCTAATACTGGGGAGAACAGTGGCTTGACCAAATTCACATTTACCCCGTTGCACATGTGCCCCTGCAATGGAAAGACCGAAAGGGGAAGCAGACGACACTACGAGGAAGCCAATTAAAGGACTCAGTCAAGAAAACGAAAGCTTAACCAAAAACAAGTCATTATCACTAGAATACCCGATAACAATTTCATGATGAAAGTGACAATATTTCAACTAAACTCCGAACTAAGACCTTTTATCTTCATGATAAATCTCTCTCTTGTGTCCCTCCCGGCCCTGACCGGCACGATGCACGCGAACTATGATCACTGTCACACAGACGCTTTAGAAGCTGTTTCGTGTGTTGGGCTAACGCAAAAAGGAGGGGGTCCAACTTCGAGATCTTGGCTAGGCCAGCGACGTATAATACATCTCTGGCTTATACGTCTCTGGCTAGGCCTACTCGGACGGTGGGTTTGGGAGGGGGGTATATCTTCCCAAATGGAAAACAGCTGGTGGTTGTGTTCTATAACAGGAAATCTTTAGTGCCCAAAAACTCGAACTAAATATATATTGACGGACACGTAGACAGGGGCGTAGCGAGCTACAGCCCTTGCTGGGAGGGGATTTATTTAGGAGCGGGTCAAGGGTAGCGGGATGTTTTATGATCTCACGATCAATGAGATCATATTCCGGAGGGCAAAGTTCAGGGGCGGGTCCAGGTGAGGGCGTAATGGGCGTACGCCCCCCCCCCCCCCCCCTTTAAACAAAAAAAAAAGTTACATTAGTGCATTTCACAATTATTTTATGTTTTTTTAGCAAAAAACAGGTCCAAAATCTTTTTGGCCTCGCTCCGCTCGGCGAAAGATTTGTTTCTACGCCCCCTCTTTCAAATATCCAGGAAACGCCCCTGAAGCTATTCAATTGCAAGAGACGAGCTTGAACTCTGACCGTAACAGGCTGCAACAGTAATAGCGGGTTTTATGGGATTTGCCAGAGGCCACTTGTAACTATATCAACAATAATTACATCCAGACAACCAGTTATTGTTTAATTAATAACGCTTTCGAGGATCGTGAAATATTAGTTTTGTGATTGCATAATATAAACATGCTGTTTATATATGAACTCAACAAATTAGTGAGTGATGTCTTAGATATATCATAAATTTTGAAGGAGTATTCTAGTCTGAGAGTGTTTTAATCCACTTTGTCAAATGGACTTCTATACTTTTGTGAACGTTTTGAAAATTAAATGCTTTAAAAACTGTAAATCGATTAATTACATACATGATGATATTCTAGCTGTTAATCTCGTATACGACAGGGACGTCTAAAGTGCAGTGTACGTCGTTATATTTACATTCTGTATGCTTAGACCCATTGACAAAAATTACATTCATAAATGCATAACACAGGTGTTCATAGAATCTCAGCACGTGGGAACTGATAGTAACCTGATCACACTGCGTAGTAATACACTACAAAAACTACTCACTCGGAACGACCGACCTAGATGCTTAATTCTTACATCTTAAAATATTATTGAACTGTGCTTTGTGAAATATCCACGTATTCACGTGTCCTGTGCTACAAATAAACATTGAATATGGAACTACATTTTGTTGTGTTATTGTTGTTGACGGTTGCTAAGATCTCTCACGATAGTGTCACATTTCCCCGCGAAAAAACACTGTTCTCGCCACTGCGTTGCACCCGTGTATAAGCAGGAACAAACCCTGTTTATTTGTTTTATTCGTTGTTATATCGATCCACTGAAAGGATTCGTCAATGTAAATATAAGGAATGATATTTATTTTTTCAACATTTATGAGGTCATAACAACAATGGGTTTTTGGACATATTTTAAATGAATCGCTAACGCGATTCATTCAATATGTCCATAAACCCATTGTTGTTATGACCTCATAAATGTTGAAAAAATAAAAATCATTCCTTAAATATTGAAGGTTTACTGTAATAAATGCCTTGTGCGCTTTTCGTGTCCCAAAAGGAGAATCCAACGAATGACGACTATGGGTTTGCCCATCCTCGATTATGTCATAGCAAGATTGAAGGCACGAAGATAGCTGTTTGATTGGTCTCAGGTAAAAAAAAAACCCACACCAGACCAGTCGCTAGGCTGATACATGTCCTTTGAAGATTACAAAGGAGAGACGCTCGACTTAAAAGCCTGTCATTTTTTACCGTTACGTGACCGCGAGATTCTTTTGATGTACACCAAAGGACCAAACTAATCTTCTCGTCTGATCCACAAGGTGCTGCACACTGAGCCTTCGATTTTGCAATGACATATTCTAGGGGTGTAGAGAGCGAAAGTGAGCGTAACCCCTGGATATCAAGGATGGGGTTTGCCCTGATCAGTGGTAATATTTACACCATGCTACGTGTTCGATAAGATCAGAAGTAATGTTTATATTTGTATATAAATACAATACACGCGCTTTCATCTTATTTGATAAAGATCGATGACGTCAAACACAAAATGATCGTAATAGCAGAAGAAGCGTGTCAGAATTTCACAGGAAATGTCGTCATTTTGAAGGGACGCAGTCGGGCATGTGTTACATTATGTAAAGTCATCGAATTCTTTACGGCACGCAAGAAAATCAAATTCAATTCCTTTTCCGTTTTGTATATTTGACACTTTTCACATTTTAAGTGTGGTATTAACGGAAAGTTGTTAACGTTTGCTATTTAAGAAAATAAAAGAAAGGCAGTTTTTATCCTGCTGATAAGAAAAAGGGCGAAGGTTAGCGGATCGGTGAATTTATGTAGTAAATATAGTGCATTGTGATATATCTTTCACACTACTCCTACCCCAGATAACCTGCATGCTAGCAAAGGCAAGTTTATAGGATCCACGTGGTTTTTCACTCACCCTAGGACATGCAATATTAACATTGCTGTACAATGTGGTGGATGGAATAACATACCCAATGAAGAATATGTAATTTATGCACACGATATGAATTAGGAAAGGAGTATCATTATATTTTTGAAATCAAAAATTCCTGGCGTACGTGAAAGTATAGATGAATTTGTAACAGATTTATTTTTTTAAATCATTTTGCTTGTTGCAATAACTCAGAATATTACATGTAATATGCAAAACTAATGTCCCTTTTTCATATTTTGATGCCAATAAATAATGCGTTTATTCATTATTGTGAGTATGAACATTGTAAACGATGTAGCTTTTCTACATTGTAAAATTCAGTTTATGAAAATAAGAAGATACGGAATAATATAACCTATCACCCCGTATGGAGTAGACTAATAGAATGTTCCCCAACCTCGAGGGTGTGACAGAGAAACATCCAACCCTCGGGATGTTATTCTCGAATGTCCTACCCTCGACTTGAGAATATCATCCCGAGGGTTGGAGATTTCTCTGTCACACCGTCTTCTCATTGGATTACAACGGCCACTCTTGATGACCTTATAGTAGTCAGGTAATCAGTTTTTTTAGAGATTGCAATGAGAGTTGGCAAATATATTTTTTATTACCTTTGTACAGTAACCAGATATGACACTTGGCAGGTACAGTATAAAAATGTAAATATATATATATTCCGTCTTTGCATATTGCAGAGTTATCTTCTCTTGATAACAGGTATTGATTGTTACGTCATTTGTTTATGAGAGTAACGTCATCAATTTTTGAGAAAACGACGTAATTTTCTCACACAAACCAATGACGTAACAATCAATACCTGTTCTCAAGAGAAGATAACTCTGCAATACGCAAAGACGGAATATAGGTATTACGATCTCGTGCTTGAACTTTTATTCATGAGCGGCCTTGAGTATTAGGGCTACATGAACCTAATGCATAGATTTTTCTAACCCCGTTGCACAATAAAATGAACTAAATCAAGACATATCTTTAAAGTTTTACAATAAAAATGCACCTTAAACTACTGTACATGACCTTTATACATCTATATCTATATGCGAGTTTGTGTGTACATGACTATG